CTGGAAAAATAATAATTCCAGTAGTGATAGATTCCCTTTAAAACCAACAGGCCAAAAACAATCTTAGCCAAATGGAAGAAACACAGTGGCAAAAGTCAGCCAACATGATTGCAATCATCTAAAACACAGTGTCGAATGCATTGCGGCTTTCCAAATTCAGCAAATCAGCGGACCAGAGTCATGAAATAATAACATAGCGTTGCCCCACCAGTCAGGAAACACCTGGACCTGTCTTCATGTGCGAACTAAACTAAGCATGAACAACATATGCAAACAAAGCAGAACAGCCGACAAGCCTGGACAGACGGGAGCACCTGCGTGGCTGACGAGTCCTGAACATACCATGGTAAGCAATGATCAAAAAGGGGCTCGTCTAACCCCTCTTTGTGTCTCTTCCCTACCCGCAGTATAGTTCCTGAAACCAGCTCGAGCTCTGTTCAAACTGGTTGCAGATGCTGGCTTTTTTGACCGAACATGGATCATGGACAGCTTCATAAAAGCACAGGAGCTAGAGGTTTGACCAAAGCCAGCCGTATGGAACTCCTGGCAGCGAACAGGCTCTGGAGTTGGAAACTGCGGTTTGATAAGTTTTCTCTTGTCAACAGCCATTGTGATTGAAGACATTCTGCCTGAACTACACACTGGTAGCGATAGCGAACCTTGCGTCAAGTGCGCAAGGTCCAACATATTTGTGAAAATGAGCACACCCAGCTCAGGCTAGGGACAATGACAAGGTAAAGGTGAAGAAGCCTGAAACAAAAGGTCAAGAAGCCAAAGAGTGCTGGTGTAACAAACAGCCCACATTATCCCCAAAACGTACAATGTGCGTGCTGCTGTTGGGCACCGATCTTACAAATTCACCGCTGGTCTTCAAACTGAAACCTGGCCAACATAGTGGTCTAAGCAGAGAACACTCATTGAGAATACAGTTGGGAGATTATCCTGATTTCGGTATTCGGCAAAGATGAGACAGCATTGCATTGTTTCCAGCTCTTGGCGTCTCAAGAGATCCCACAGCTATCGAGGAAACAGCATACACGGGGTTAGCTTTCCACACCAGGCGTGAACTCTGAGCTGCCATGCCCGCAACGCTGTTCTTATTTGTTCACTGTCTCCCACATTGAGGCCACTGCCAGGCTCGGCAATGCATTGAGCCTGTCAAAGTCACTGGTCGACGCTTACGGGAACACGCAATTGCAGCCAAAGAAATATAAGTTAATGCAAGTTAACATCAATACACAATTTGCATTGTATGTGGATTAACCACTGAAACATCATAGCTGGACCAAGAATTCATCGTATAAAACCAGAGTCCCTCTGCACAACAAGCTTTCCATAGCCAAGAACCAATCCACCAGATCTCCAAACCAATACATTCTCGCACAGTACAGTTTCCTCTGACCAAAACTATTCAGCGCCATCAAACTCCAGGGCCATTCATGGCCAGTCAAGGAGTACTATATCTGGTTCCTGGATGGGGGTGACCAGCGTCTTCGGTACCAGCTAACATGAAGCATGTTCTGCTAACTTGTAAACAACCACACATTGGACGCCTTGAAATCGGTCTCATGTTTCCCCAGCGAAAGCTATTGGGTCTTAACCAATGGGTTGGGCGAAATGTTGGGGCATCACTCCTATGGTTGTCAGGGGCCCCCCAAAGAGGGGACTCCCTGCGAGGGAACTCTATTCGCCCCCAATAGACCCTACGAGTATTAGTCGCCTGCTATTCGGATTGGGGGGGCCCCTATTGAGAGGTTCCTTGACAAGCATGGGATTCACTGGAGGCGCTCCCCCGACCGCTCGTGGCCATGCCTCAGTTTCTGGCCTCACGCCGTCAAGCTGCTCCGACCTGATGCACTTGGCACCCAGTCCAGCAATTCTGGCGCTCTGAAATCTGGGGATAGACGCGGATGCAACTTTGAGGGACAGACCGAAGAGTCTGCTCTGCGTGTCTGCGCTGCCAAACAGAACTGTCAAACAGTACTCCTTGGCTTTGGGAAACTGACCACGTCCTTTGAGACGGTTTACTACAGATGTGTAAAGGCGAGTGATTCACTGATGCAAAAGGACGCAGTGGACTGCTATACTTGAACTTTTACTGAAGGTGGAATCCTGACAAGCATAACCACACTCCAGCTCATGTTGACTAGTCTTTGTGCCACGCCATGCACATCCTTGAAGGGTCACCTGGCGCAAAATGGCTATCATAATGGATCTACTTGATCATGTTTTGCACCCGTAGATCACCGTAGTTGAGCAAACATGGTGTTAGCTAAGCACCTGCTCACTGAATGCGCGCATATTCGGGTGAATAAGCAGTTTGCAATGGGTCTACGGCCGTCATAAGCCTCCACATGACATGGCTGATCATAGCACTGAATTAGTCCAACTATTGAGCATTCCTGCAGCAAACAATGCAATCTCCCGCGTCGCAGGAATTGGGTCGCAAAGTCCAATCCTCTTCACAAAGTATATATTGTGGACGAATAGGTTTTTGAGGCATACAGCCTGTGCTGGGGGATTCCATGAATGCCAAACACTGTGTAACACTCCATGCATTTGGGTGCACTCTTCCACAGTCAAAAGCAAAAAAGCAAAACATGTCCCAAAAATCAGACACCCACTACTTCCATCAGCAAAAGAGCCAGAAGTTTGGCAGACTATGCCCAATGGTCCGTGTTAGGTGCATAACATCATCCATCGCCATCTCGATGCCCAAAAACAAAATATTTGTTTGTGCACTGTTTTATGATTTACGGCATTGTCTTCTGTTTGTATTCTTACCAAAATCAAGGAGATACTCCTGGACGGCACGGTTCCCTTCTCTGCTTCTTGATTGTGTGCGCAGTCTTTGGATCGTGCACTTCCGGCATGCGATCAAACTACAGGAACAACGGGATTTCTCAATACATCATGCATCAAAGCACAGAGTATATGGAGGCTTGACCAGTCTTCCAAAGCTTGCGCAGACTGAAGTAAAATGGACCTTGGGGATTTTACAATGTTCTCCAGTGAAAGCCCTTCAGAATCTTGCCTTTCAAGACGCAATGAGCAAAGGACAATACAAAGGATCGTCATATGGGTATGGCTCAAGATTAAACAGGAGGGGTTACGCAGGTTTTGGTCCATGTTTCCACTTACCAGGGTTCCATTTTGGAATTCCGGTTTTCTGACCCACAGCCATATGGCGTGGCCGCCACTGGTCCCTTCGTCTCGTCCAAGTCGCATGGGGCATCGCCAGGTGAGCGCGACACAAACAGCATGGCAATGTGCTCATTGCAAGCGACAACCGGCGAGCACCGCACGACTGCACCTGGAGTGAGTCAAAGCTTCGAGGCTTCAATCATGCCATTCCAAAACAATGAGCATGCAGGTACTTGACTTGGGCGTCTGGTTTGTCATGTCTTCGCACCTGAAAGCCGAAATGGCTTGGGACGGAATCGTTGGGTCTGGGAAACACGCGCCAAAACGCAGCAAACACTCCGCCATGCTGAAACCTGCTTCCGCTGATTTCCGCCGATGTCCCGCCGATTTCCTACTGCCGCTTTGGCGATGTCCACGTCGAAAAGCGCCGCCAACAGCAAAAAGGTGCTTTCTGCAAAACGGCAGAAACTCCTGCCGATTTGGGTGGTCTAGGTATATGGGGGTTGTCCTATATTCCTTTGCCCGCGATTGGGCGCTTGGGCCGCACTTGCGCGGCACTTGCGCGTACTTGCGCGCGCACAGTGGCGCAGAAACTCGTTTTCGTTGACCTCGGTTTGCGAAGTTTTCGTGTGGATTGCGCGCAAGCTTTTCTAAGCAGTGTGTTTGTCGTTCACACAGCAACCCACAAAGACTTTTCCCGCTGAGGTCGCTCCCGGCAATTCAATGCCAGCAACATGCCCTTGACCCAACAGAAAGAACAGCAGGCTCTGCCACACAGCTTGGACACAGCCTGAAAGAAGGAAAGTGCATGTTGCGGGTGCCTATCCATTGCTTGAACCCGCCGCTAAGGACATCCGAGACAGCATGGCTAGATGTCTTGCTGGGGCTTCTCGTGCTTGCGCGCAACTTGCGCGCGGCTTGCGCGCGGCTTGCGCGGATTTTGTCGTGTCAATTGCTGGTCATGACCGCAGAAGCTTTGGCTTCGTTTGGCGTCTGACTGATTCGAAAAGCACAAGTACAGCAAGAAAATATCACCTCCTTTCATGAAGCTAGGCAACATCAGTACATGAAACCCTTCAAAACTGTAACCTTGCGCGTCCCTTGGGCCGCACTTGCGCGCTCCTTGCGCGCTCACAGCTTTTGACAACTTTTACTTCTCCCCGTTCGGCGATAATTAAAACCGAAGACTGGGGTTTTAGGACGGCCCTCATATGAAGCCAGATTGCAATACTTCACACAGCTTGACATGTACAAAAACCGCATTCCCAGCGCGTCCTGCTCTCTATTTTTGGGGGGAGACATTTTTTGGGGGGAACAATCCGCTTGTCAAAATGGATGAGCCAGAGCGGCTTATGGAAAACAATGTGAGCAATTGATTCTGGTCACGGCTAAATTTAGGCAAAGAAGGGCAACACCGCTGGCAAAAATACGTGATGATTCCTCCTGGATAGCATGGCGTTCGCTCAAGAAGAGTATTTCTCGGCAGCAAGCAATTGCCAGCACGCTAACGCGACGGACCTGCAGCTGCGACAACCTGAAGAACCTGAGTATTTTCGCTCAAAGCACGAAAATTCCAACTTCCAATGTGGGCCGTTGAGCAACACGATTCAGACGACGCCCGTTCGGCGAGGAAGAGCATCACTGCAACAACCTTCATCTGAAGGCTTCGCTTCTTTTCCGACGCAACCTACGAGGACCTATCTTCCAGGACCCAGCCAACCCAGGCACATGATCCGACCTCCGATCGAGAGGTCTTTGAAAGATCTGGGTGGGGCAAAACTAGCTGAATTCTCAGCCTTTCTTTCCATGTTCTTTGCAAAGCCAGCCGGACTCTCGGCAACTTCACGCTTCTCAACTGCAACACACCGGCGCTGCTTTGAATTTGCCCCACCTCGCAGGCGCCTCACGTGTCTTTCTTGGACTCCGAGTCCAATGCCCTCAACGCTCGCAGGCGTTCCACCTGCGGGGTCTTGAGATAGAACGAAGCACTGGAAGGATTCCTGACTGATGGAGTGCGTTGCCAGGCGGCAAAACTGGCCACTGCTGATTGATAGGTTTTTAACAAGGCACGGCATCCACAAAGCAAAGCCATCTGGGTAAGCATGAAGCACTTTGCCATGTTTCAGGTCGCAATCGGGTACACCTGAACCTATTAAATGAACAAGACTGTCGCCAACGGGACTATACTGAACATGAGCTCAAAGTCCCCATACTCAAGAACCACTTGTGCAACGACGTTGAAACTGTATTACAGTGAATGCATAATTCAGAAAGGGAACGCCTGCAGAACTGGAACCGGCAATGTTGCCCCAACATCATTTCGGCCTGGCTCAACCCTCTGAGTGCGGGACCAAGGGTGGATGCGAGAAGTGGTACCACGAGTACCATGGATCTGGATTCAGATCACCCTGCACGTCGTCTCCGGTTCAACGCTGCGATGTGTAGGCACAACCCAAAACCCAATTCACTTTGGCCACGCAAAGCTTTCTTCTCGGTGTGTCATTTCCTTGTGGAACCGCAAAAAGGGTGTCCGTTTTGGAATTCCTTGGAAACCAGAGCTATGAAATGGAGACCTTTGCTAAAGGTTGTCTTTCAAAAAGGACAGCATGCAACAGGGTCGACTTTTGGCTGATCTCTGCTGAACTCGAAAATATATTGGTCCGGTGCTTCACTGGATTGGATGCACCTGTGGATTTCACCCATTCCCTTGAGGTGCATCCGTCGCCTACGTGTCTCTCACGTCCCGGAAAGATAAGACACTTGCCCTCATGGCACAAAAATTGCATGGCCAGTGCCAAGGCAAAAACATATCGTCGCCATGCCTGGCAGCTAAACCAAAGCTTGGAATCGGTCGCTTTGGGTCGGAGCTACAAGTTTTTCCCGGCGAGGCCAGCCGAAGCCGAAACTGATTCCTTGGGGTTCCTTGGCTTTGCCATCAAATGCAGCCAAAGCCATTTGTCTAGCTTTTCCCCAATTGCATTAGGAAGGTAGCCTCCCACCTTTTTCCAGGATCCTGGATTAGACCATGTTCCTTTGAAAGGGACCATTTCCCGAACGTCAGGTTCCATGTGAAGAGGGCGGGAGGATATCGGTTGACACGCGAGCACTAGGCCGCAAGCAATAAGGTTCTGGGCTGGGCTTGGAGCCTTTCTTGGGAGCCAGGAGCCGCCGCGCAGCTCAAGTTGAAGTCAAAAACAAGCGGAAGCCATCTGAATGCCGAAGAGACCATTCACGTTTTTTGCTCTTCACTTCCTCAAGATCCTCGTGAGTGTGCAAAACAAACGCAGGAGCCTTTCTTCATCCCATGCTTGAGCTGACAAGGCCAAACAAGAAAGGAAGGCCAACTAATTGCACAAGTGGAATGGCACCGCATGCTGAAGCCAAGATGGACGCACAAGTGTAAGTCTTTGGGATGATGTGTTTCCAATTGCTGCGACGCTTGGAAAGGATTAACCACTGTGACAAGAATTGCCGTTTACCGGTAGCTGTAGGTGGAAGTCCGGCCTTCAATTCGAACAATATCTAAAAACTGGACTCATCCAACATCGATAAAACTCAATGGGACATCCTGTGACTGACGCAGCCTCAACATGTTTCCCGCATACGTCTCTTCCAGTGGAACTCACCTCCTCTTTGCGAAGCAGGCCTTGTTCTCTTCGTGAATCTGAAAAAGCCCGCTCCTCAGCCAATCGCAACAGACTCTTCAAGTCCTGGAATCATATACAGATTTGATAGGCCACGAAAGTGACGATAAAATGAATGTAGTTATAATGTTAACCCCATACTTTCATCAACTTCAGTCTGTTAATAGGGGGGTGTCCCTGGGTGAAATGTGGGGAATCATCACTATGGAGCGGAACACCCTCCTATTTGTGATCTTGGGGACCTGACGCCAAAGTCGACAGGGAAACCTGGCCTCTGATCTGTCTGGTTCCACATGGGCGCCTGGAAGAAAGTGGGATGCCAGTGTTCCTTGATGCAGTTGCTTGTCAAGTTCATGCAGTTAGAAAATATGGCTGGCTGGAGAGCGGTCACCTTCCAGTGGTTAAGGTATGTGCGAAAGCGGGAATAAATCCGCCCCAACAAACACCAAGGTTTCAGCCCGTGGAAGTGCCGGGTAGTGGCGTTGCAGGCTGCCCTTTGCACAATCCCCGTTCCGAATTCCAACTCTCTGTTGCTGTGTTGAAAGGATGATCGAAACGACAAAGTTCGCGAAGATACTGGAAGTAGAATATTGCATATAAACACAGATAGCTACCAGGTGGTCACCACCAAGCAACGAAAGCAACACCCCTGAATCAAAACAGCAGCTATTCGAGAGTCAGCTGACTGGCCCTCCACAAGAAGGGAAGAAAG